CGGTACCAGGTCCGTAAATCTCAACGCAGCTTATCAGCGGCTCCTAGTCCAGACATCTGATGGATGTCCAACAAAGCTCCCTATGCCGCATGTTTTCACGTGTAATGTTTATAAATACAAAAGTAAATAATATATACTATTTCTTACTTACTTTCTTTTTTTCTTTATAAACATTATACGTGAAAACATGCGGGATAGGGGGCTTTGTTGGATCCACACATGTGCAGTAGCCATCAGATGTCTGGACCGGTACATGCATGGTAGTCTGTTAAAGTTTTCGACTAGGAGCCATTCATAAGCTGCATTGGTCCATGAGTTTGACGGACCTGGTGCTGCAGTGGTGCTTGCACGCTCAGCACACACCCCCTCCCCGAAGTCCGATAAAGTCACAGGTCTGATGGAATTAGTCAATCATTACAAGCGCTTTCGGGGCCGCGCAGGGTCCCCTTCATCAGGCTCAAAGTAAACATCCTTACAATCAAAAACCACCACCTATACACTGAGTGGCCAGATTATTATGACCAGCTGATGTTTATAGGCTAATTAGCTATAATTAGCTATAATTTCGCGCTGAAGTTGCTAGAGGGCCAGACCATTATAAATAGTGAAGCAGATTGTCTACCACAGCAGAAGTGATTTGTGAAGATATGGATAAACAATGCAATTTAACAGCCTTTGAACGTGGGATGATTGTTGGTGCTCGGAGCCACGGAGCGAGTATCAGCAAAACAGCAGAATTTGTTAAATGTTCAAGAGCAGCAGTTGTTAAAGTGTTTAAAGACTGAACTGTCAGCCGAAAATCTGGGTCTGAATGTGCGAATTGTGGCAGTCAGCGATTAGTCAATGTTAGGGCAGAACGGAGAGTGGCAAGACTGGTACACGACAACAGAAGGGCAACAGTGCAGTGTCAGATTCCTCGCATCACCTTTCAACATCTCGTGGAGTCACGAGGCGGCCCAACGAAGTCATCATGTGGAGTCATCTCGTGGCCCAACGAAGTACTGATGGGGTGGTCATAATAATCTGCCCACTCAGTGTATATACACACAATAAAACTGATAATCATCCAGAAACCCCACCCCTCGGCGTCTCAGTGACATCATCTTCCCGCCAAGTACATATAGGAGATACAGGAACTGCAAACAGAAGCAATACAAGAATCTCATTGCATATCAAAGATCAGAGTGTATATTTATAAGGAAAGTGTAAGAGCAACATTGTCATCCATGGAGACGGGGACGTCATGGAGACGGGGACGCTCGTCCGCAGAGAGAGAGAGCCGTCAGCGTCTATACACTGTGTCAGTGGGCCGTGCTACTGCGCATGCGCCGCAGGTCATCAGCGGTTGGTCAGGTACCGCCTCCTTCAGAATCAATAGGAGCAGAACGCCGGTCTGTGCTCAATCATTTTAAGCTCATTATAGGATCGTGACTCCATTGGATATTTGATATGGGTATCCGGTGGGCCATGTGGTTCCAAGCATGGCGCGGCCTCGAAAGCGCTTGTAATGACTGACATCAATAAATGGATTTTCACTGACGTTTAAGTCTTTGTCGTGCTGGTGTGCTGGTTCACAGTTTCTTGAATTTTGTCAGGTCAGGTGCAAGACTTTACCCAATCACAGCACAGTACACTGTGAGAGCCATGATTGGGCAAAGTAATGATGACTTTGCCCAATCATGGCTCACGCAGCCAAGTCCTGTCAGGTGGCGGAGAAATGTAAACAGTTGGGTGGAGCTAACGGTTGTGTCATCGCTAGCTCCGCCCAATTGTTTATATTTTGCCGCCATCTGCCTGAATCCCATTCTGCGGCGGGAGTTGTCGTTAGCAGATGGGTCAGTGGGTGTCTGGTTCTTTTTTTGTTATTTTATACTTATTTTTTATTTTCATCAAGTCGCCCTGCTCGTGGACAACGCTGGACCCCATGATTGACCCTAGGATTAGGTCAGTGGATCCATTTATTTTTTTTAAATAAAGAACTTGTCAAGCCGCCTCTGTTTAGACCTTTCTGCTGCCTTTGAAACAGTTGACCACCCACTTCTCCTTAATAAACTTAATTCCCTTTGCCTCCAATACTCTGCTTTCTCATGGTTCATCTCCTACCTATCTCAGCGCACCTTCAGTGTCAATTATAACCAAAGTAGTTGTGCTAGGATGTATTATTAAAAAGATTAACCAGCTGCAGCAATGTCTATCAACGTGGTCAAGTGTGGGCCGGTGTGCTACGCTTGGTTGTGTGTGTTCCACCTTTTAATTAATCTATGAATTATATGTAGAAATGTGAAATATCACAAACTGAATACAGTGCCAGTGATCAAATCCTTATTGCAACTGTATACTTGAATACATGTCAATAAGGGGAATAGGTTCGTGCCTAATTAAATATTAAATATTGGTTCAATATGGTGATAGGTGATTGTAAATATGAAAAATGAAATAAATGAATAAATATATATATTGTCGTGTGAAATAAGTTATTTGTGAGAAATAAATTATATTATAAAAACTGGTATGAAATCTAGCTTAAACGAGTGAATTTCTACCGTCTGACATTCAATACTGATAGTACTTCTGAACCAACCGAAGGCTACAAGCCAGTGTGCAAAAAATCCTTATAAAAACCACATCTACTAATATAAAATATAAAGTGGTTATGGACAGTGAAATTCTATTATCCTCCAAACGGCGTTGGAAATCCGGGGGATGAAAGAAGGAAGAGAAGAGAAGAGACATCAAAAAAGGGGATGGGCTCCCTATGTGTTCAAAAGTGCGTTTAAGTATAATGTAATGGCATAAACATCCCAATCCTGAGGCCACTTTGTGTCAATAAACAGTATCTTTATGTAGACCGGATTCTGCAAAGAAGCAAGGTCTTTCGATCAAAGGGCAAAGGAGTTTAAGAAGCAGAGGTTAGGCGAATGATACCAAGTGTCTTTTACTTGTAGTTCCGTCTATGAGTCCTCTTTAAGACTGCGGAGAAGAGAACAAGATGCTCCACTGCCATAGTTTGTGCCCTCTTCGATTGGGCTCCTCGGTGGCCACAGCAGTTTCCTCCGCCCACCTCAGCTGCCATTGGTGGGAGAGGAAGACTGCAGAACCGCAGATGGCCGGCTTCTGCAGGGCGTAGTTAAGTCCGGGGCAGGGTAGGGGTTAGGTGGGGCAACTGGTGGCGAGTAACTTTTCAGGCCTGGCAAACGCCCCCCACTGCCGCCATAAGCATTTAATCTCTCCCCTCTCGGTCGCTCTGCTGCTGCAGAGGCCAAGAGGGGAGAGATGAAGTCCTTGCCGTGGCGGGGGGCATTTGCAAAGGTATCAAAGAGGCCTGGGGGCAATTGCCACCCTGCCCCCGGGCCCAGTCCGCCCCTGGGTCAGACTAATCCAGCACGTTATTAATATGAGTGCCCCACTCAATATGGCCGCAAGCGAGGGGCAGACTGAGTGGGGCAACTATGAGCGCAGAGAGCTAGCTCTGGCTCTGGATGGGACACTACTGCCGCGGCAATCGCTCGCTCGCTCGCTTCTGTTTTCTCTTCTCCTTCTCGGGCTCGGCCGCTCTGTAGCTGCAGCAGGCGAGAAAGAGAAGAGAAAACAGAAGCGAGCGAGCGATCTCCGCGGCGGTAGTGTCCCATCCCTAGTCCCGCCGGCGAGGCAACATTGCTGACATTCCACTCGCCCCCCCGCAATTTTCACTCGCCAATTGCGAGGGGGCGAGTGGAAATTTTGAGGCCTGTACTAACTGACATATCCGTCTGGATGTCACAACATTTCTTCAAACTCAACCTTTCAAAAACTGAGCTCATGATATTTCCTCCCCTAACATTTCCCCTGAGATTGTTAACACAACGACCTACCCCTCCCCTCATGCCAAGGTCCTAGGTGTCATCCTTGACTCGGACCTCACCTTTCTTCCCCACATCAAATCGCTATCCAAATCCTGCCGCCTTCACCTTCATAACATCTCCAAAATACGCCCCTTCCTCACCAATGAAACTGCTAAATTACTCATCCACTCCCTTGTTATCTCTCGTCTTGACTATTGTAACTCCCTCCTCATTGGCCTTCCACTACACAGGCTATCCCCCCTTCAGTCTATCATGAATGCAGCTGCCAGACTCATTCACCTAACCAACCGCTCAGTGTCTGCAAACCCCCCTCTGCCAATCCCTGCACTGGCTTCCACTCGCCCAAAGGATACAATTCAAAATGTTAACAATGACTTACAAAGCCATCCACAACTCTGCCCACGGATATATCTCAAACCTGGTCTCAAAGTAACACACTAACCGTCGGCTCCGCTTATCCGCTTATCCCAAGACCTCCTGCTTTCCAACTCCCTTGTCAACTCCTCCCATGCTCGCCTCCAGGACTTCTCTAGAGTCTCTCCCATCCTCTGGATCTCTTTACCCCAACCTGTCCTGGCATTCCCTAAAGAATCATCTCTTCAAGGAAGCCTATACCACCTCAACCTAACCGCTCAACCATCACGTTCTCATACAATTCACTTCCCCCTCCCTTTTAGATTGTAAGCCCTCACGGGCAGCGGCCTCCTTACAATCTTGTCTTGATTTGTATTGTGATTGTAATGTCTTCCTTATATTTTAAAACGCTGCGCAAACTGTTGGCGCTATATAAATCCTGAATAATAATAATAAAATTGTTGGCGCTATATAAATCCTGTATTATAATAATAATTACTTATCTTCTAGCTTTCCACTTTATAAAGGAGAAAATATATCAGGTATACATGAACGGATACACACACATATACATTGTTTTATTTAGTCTGCCATTAGTATTTATCTTTGTAAGGCGTTGCTGACATTTTGGTAATCACTCTCTTGGGTCCAGCGCGGTCCCAACTTTGCTATCTAGGACCTCGGAGAACCCTTGATGGACAGGATGCAGAAGCACTTGGTAATGGTTACCTCACTCAGAGCATAGGCCCACCCCCTCACTTCCTGTTCTTGAGACAGCGGCCTCTCCTCCCCTGAAGGGCGGAGTCTGCATGCTTCCCTCGGAGGGGGCGTGGTCTGTATGCTTCCCCCGGAGGAGGCAGGGTTTCTATGTTCTCCAGGAGCGCTGTGAATCAGTCAGGCACCGGACGGCCGGTGTCGGTGGCCCGACTCCTCGGGTAGGCGCTATGCCGATGGTCTCCGCTCTGCTCCTGGCCTTGCTGCTGCTGGTTGTGTGCGCCGTGCTCCTAGCAAGGTGAGTACACGGGAGGAGAGCGCGGCCTCGGAGCTGGCCTGGGGCTGCCTTCCAGGTAGAGCTGTCAGACGTGGCGCCGAGGTGTCACTGGAAATAGCCGTGCCTGGCACCGTGACAAATACATACCATTACTGTGCACTGCTATAGGGGAAGTGTCATGGCTGGGCACTGGTGACAGGCAGCCAGCTGTGCCCCTCCAGTACAAACCATCGTGTGCTGGGGAGCAACTGGTTGTCCTGTGCAGGAGATGGAGGTGTGCCATAGGACGAGCTCATCCTTCTATTGTCTGCATTGGGCAGGTCTGTATGTGTCTTCATTCTGCTGAGTGATTGACCCAGACCATGCAATTGCCTGGCATCATAACACTGACAACACTGCTGTATCCCATACTACATGCACATGACATGACCGGAGCAATTTACCAAAATTGGAGCAGTGGCCCATGACAACCAATCAGCTTCTCTCTTCAGTTTGTCCTGTTAGTCTTTGAAAATGAAAGAGAGAAGCGGATTGGTTGCCATGGGCCACTGCTCCAGATTCTGTCTGCTCCAGTTTTGATCCATTCTCCAACATGTATGTACAGTCTCGGGTAGTTTCATATCTGTGTGTCCCTCCAGTACATGTCTGCTCATGCTGGGAACTGGTTGTCCTCTGCAGGAAGTAATGATGTGTCATGGTTCCATTGTTTGCATTAGGCAGGTTTGGTAAATACCCTGGTGATTTATTATCCTTACATCACCATGCATGCAATAGCCAGGGTATGACAGTGCCTGGCACCATAGTACCAAAACATTGGTACCTTCACCACTCCATATACACTGTGCATGGTTATTACACATCCACACATGAAGTGTCATGTATGTTTTGTCTCATATCTTGTCACAAATCTGATGATAGGCAGTTCATATCTATGTGTCCCTCCAGTACAAGTCTCCTAATCTCGGGGGGGAACTGGTTCTCTTCTGCAGGAGATAATGCATTGTGTAATACATGTGCAGGTGTCGTGCTTGTTATACATGTGCGAATGTCACGCATGTGCAGTTGATGTGCTTGTCATACGTGTCCAGGTGATGTGTTTGTCATGCACGGCCAAATGATGTGCCTATCAAATACATGTGTAAGTGACAATCTTGTCATACGTGTCCAGGTGACGTGTTTGTCACACGTGTCCAGGCGATGCGCTTGTCACGCATGTCCAGGCGAGGCGCTTGTCGCGCATGTCCAGGCGAGGCGCTTGTCACGCATGTCCAGGCGAGGCGCTTGTCACGCATGTCCAGGCGAGGCGCTTGTCGCGCATGTCCAGGCGAGGCGCTTGTCACGCATGTCTAGGGGATGCGCTTGTCACGCCTGTCCGCGCGTCACGCTTGTCACACCTGTCACACCTGTCCGCGCTTGTCACACATGAGTTGACACGTGAAATGTTGGAGATGAGAAATCTTCTCGCTCAGTGCTGATCCTGAGGAAGCATTAGAAGCTGTCCTCCTCTCTCCATAGAATGTAAAGCTCTTTATTCCATGCTGCCACATCTAATTGGGGACAACATGCTGCCTTCTGCTACAGTATACGTGTTCAGTTGACATGTTGGTTTGTGAGACTGCTCCACTGCACCACCTTACTTCAGCCATGAATAGATCTGCATTGTAATATAGGGGAGTATCCTGCTGTGTGTTTACATGTACCATACAATCTCATGACCCATGACACACTATGGATCCTAGAAATCACTCTGCTGGCTCTAGGGTGCAGCTCTCTCTCTCTGACAACGGACGTTCTGCAGTGTTTCGGCCAGTGAGCGAGGGATACTAGAAGCAACTGAGAGTTCTATGTACTGAGCTGCTTCTGCCAAAACGTCAGCTCTATATAGAGTAAACGAGGGTTATAACCCCTGGCAGATTTGTTTTTGTTTTTTTGCCATTTGTATCCCATTGGGAAGATTTGCCTTCACTTCCTGTCTAATAGCTGCAACAGGAAGTGAGAAAGTGAAGGAAATTAAGGGTTGACCGATATGTTTTTTTCCGAACCGATACCGATTATGCCCCTTTCAGGCTGGTAACCGATATCAGGTAACGATATTCTGTTTACATCCAGCGCCGGCAGCTGAATGTAAACAGCGGGCAGTGGGCCTGATATGGGTCGAGACCCCTACTGATGGCAGTAAAGGGGAGCCTCCACCCCCCACGGCCCTCCTGCACCATTCATCTGCCGGCGGCTGAATTCTGCAGCTGAATGTAAGCAGTGGGCAGTGGGCGGTGCAATAGCCAGCCTTTTATTGGCTAATGCATTTTGAATAGCCAATAGCTGGCTGGCTATTGCACCGCCCACTGCCCGCTGTTTACATTGAGCTGCCGGCTCTGGAATCTAGTCTCCAGCAGATGAATGGGGGGTTCGAGGTGACTGTGGGGGAGCGGAGGCCTTAGTGTAATGTCTCTTGGCATCCAATACACCTTAGCAACATCTGCTGTTTCTTTTGTATGCTGGCGGCCGCTGTCGGAATACCCAAAAAAAGCCGGCATTTTCCGACTAGCTCCTTAGATGATTGAGGGATGTCGGCCAAAGGGGTGCTGACAGCGTCACCCAATGCGCGCGTTTCAGCCGGTTCCTTAAGAATTGGCACAGTGTATGGCCACAATTATTATTGGTAACATCGGTATTTGTAACCAATATCGATAATCTAAAAATGTGTGAATTTCGGACCCAATTATCGGTAGATTCGATAATCGGTCGACTAGGGCTGCAACAACTAATCGACATAATCGATTATAATCGACTATTGAAAAAGTTGTCAACTTTTCCAATAATCGATTAATCGAGGTCGACCCGCCAAAGGAAATCCCTTGTAGTAAGTAGGTTTTGGACTTCCGAGTCTATTCCTGTTCTGGTGACAATCCAAAATGTGGGATTTTCTTTCCCTCTCAGGCCCCGTTCACATTGAGCGGTTCGCAAATCGCGCGATATTGCGCAAATGCTTGCATTGAGCAAGCTTGAATCGCGGCAAAATCCGCTACAAAAAGTGTCCTGCTGTAGCGACCCGCGACAGCAGGACCCTTTGCCCCATTGCCAAGCATTGGAGCGCGATATCGCGCGGTAAATAGCCGCGATATCGTGGGAATTACCGCGCGTTAAATCGCTCAATGTGAACTGGGCCTCAGTGATGGTGGTCACCAGGACAAGTAGAGAGGGTGAATCTCCCTCACGGGGAATACATAAATGATGACTGCAGCTGATTGGCTGAAAATGCTCTGCCTGGCTTCTTCAACAAAAGTCATTTGAGTAATTGAGTTTTGTCGAGCTGACAGGGCCACGTACCGTAAGAATTTCAGCCGATTCCTGTGAATTGCCCAGAATTCGAGCAGCCTATGACCAGTTTAGCTTTTAAAGAAGAACTCCGGTCACATGAAATCTTAAGCCTTGCAGTGGGGTTACCCTGGCATTTAATAGGTTAAAGGAGAACTATGAGGTGAGTGATTTTCACTCACCTCATAGTTCTAGCCGACCTGTGACAATGAGACTGTCACAGGTCGGCTCAGTAGATCGGGAGGTGAGCGAACACATACCGGCGTTCGCTCACCTCTCGATCCTGTCACGGCTCTCTACCGTGACAGGGGAGGGGCTGGATTCCACCCTCCCCACTCCGATCCGCCAGCGCTGACTGGCGGAACGGACGGGGGAGGGGGCGGGTACAGCTGGCTCTGCCTCTAGATAGGCAGAGCCAGCTGTCAGTCAAGCAGCTGGGCGGATCCAGACATAATTGTCGGGATCCGCTTCAGCTGCCGCGTCTCAGTATACCGCGAGCTACGGCTCACGGTATACTGAGCCTAGGGTGACGGGAGGACGCTAGTTTGTGTCCTCCCGTTACCCTAAGGAGAACTATGGGGGAAAGCCTTAACCCCATAGTTCTCCTTTTAAGTGCTCTTTTGGCTAGGGATCTAAAACAACAAATATATACTCACCTGATCCTCTGATCCGGCTGGTTGCTGCAACCTCGCTCCTTAGGTGGTGTAATGTCTCTTGGCATCCAATACACTGTATTGTGCGTGATAACTCACGGGTTCTTAGACCGCTGGCGCAGAGGAGGAGCACTTAACCCTTGTTCTTCTTTAACCCCAGAGTTCTTCTTTAAGCAAATTTTGTACTGAGGAAATGGTATAGGCTGCCATTGCTGAGCTCCTTCAGAAGGTGCTAGTTGCCTGATTCTCATTATGTGCTGATGGTATGTAAGTAGAATGAACAGTTTTTTTTTATTACAATTTTTTTTTTTTTTTAGTAAATGGTATTCATTGGGCAGGACACCTGCCTGGCATAAGAACACTAGGGGAATAGTTAAAAAGCAGTGAATGTTTCATTCACCAAACATTCACTGCACACTGTGACACTTCCTATATTATAGAGAAGTTTTGGCCTGGATCTGGATACTAGGTGCCGCACCCCCGATTAATGATTTACAAAAAGTGGAAAGAAAAGTGGTGTTTTGGAAGCACCAAAATGACAACTCCAGACGACAATAATACGTAAAAAAAGTGTATTTAATGGTATTGGTTTAAAAAGAGGCTCATAGCCAATTCATAAAAGCAACCAGCTGAGTAGATGTATCCCTATAAGCTCATTCCGTTTACAAAAGACCTTCCATTAACAGTATAGATGTTTAAAGAGACATGATTCACATTTTGATTAATAATTGGTAAATAAACATGATCATTGATTGCTGTTGAGGTGTTCTGAATGTATAAGTTGGTGGTGATAATTCTGAAGCTGGATTACCATGGCCGGGGCGGGGGGGGCTTTTTCAAGTGATCTGCCCCGCTCTACGTTTAGCTCTGCATGTCTCAGGCATCGGGAGATAGGAATTGCACAGCCCTGTATAAGTTTTAAGATTCTATAAATGAGTTACATTAATCTCTTGAGTACAGTACAGCGATCTACCTTGTGTAAACTCAACCGGCAGACAACCTTTGTCCACAGAAGACAACCAGCCCAGTATTGTGTGACCTGAAGGGCGGATC